CTGTTTTGTTGTGTTTTCTACCATGTGCTCCCCGTGACCCAGTTTTTCCCCTCTCGTTGATTAGTCATTTGATTCACCTGTGTCTTGTAATTACCCCTCGTTAAGCCCTGTATTTTAGTGTTGTCTGCTCCATGTTTCCTTGTCCGGTATTGTTCGTCTCCTGATGTGCTACGTGTGTGTTCCTGCCTGCCCTGTGTTACCCCTGTTTGGATTATTAAAGACTGTTATTCGTGACTCTCCTTCGTCTCCGCGTTCCTCGCTCCTACACAGTAGACAACCGTGACACCCTGAAGGTACTTCATGGGGTCTGTAGTTATAAATAGCATTCAAAAGCTTGGGGCTGGTACGATTTTTTATGTTTTTGAAAGAAGTATCTTATGCTCACCAAGGCTGTGTTTATTTGATCAAAAATACAGTAAAAACAGTAATATAATGTGAAATATTATTACAATATTAAATAACTTTTCTGTTCAAATATAATTTAAAATGAAATTTATTTCAGTGATGCAAAGCTGAATTTTCAGCATCATTACTCCAGTCTTCAGTGTCACATGATCCTTCAGAAATCATTCTAATACGCTGATTTGGTGCTCAAGAAACATTTATTAACAATGTTGAAAACAGTTGTGCTGCTTAATATTTTTGTGGAAAATTAAATTTTTTCAGGATTGTTTGATGAATTCAAGTTCAAAGGAAGAGCATGTGTTTTATTTGACCTTATAAGTATTAATTTCTTTAAAAAAAAATCTTATTCTTAATATTAATCTTTTCAGAACATTAGTAACTCATTTTGAACTGTCTTACTAATGGGTTGTTAAGAATTATTTAACGTAGTAATGTTAGTTAATATTCTCAATTCAAGTTATAGAGTGTTACTGAGAAATTCTAGCCTTGTATAGTGGGAGAATGGGAGCTCATTTCTGCCTCAGAGTAAAAAAAATAAGGTAACTGAAACTTTATATCTTACAATGTGACACCATACTTCAGAATGTGACATTATTTCTATATATATATATAAGCCTCTAAGTACGTCTGACGTTTTTCTTTAAAATTAGCATTTCTTTCTGGATCAGTAAGATTTTTATTACTTTTTAAAGAAGTCTCTTATGCTCATCTAGGCTGCATTTATTTGATCAAAAATACAGTAAAAACAGTAATATCATGTGAAATATTATTACAATATTAAATAACTTTTCTGTTCGAATATAATTTAAAATGAAATTTATTTCAGTGATGCAAAGCTGAATTTTCAGCATCATTACTCCAGTCTTCAGTGTCACATGATCCTTCAGAAATCATTCTAATACGCTGATTTGGTGCTCAAGAAACATTTATTAACAATGTTGAAAACAGTTGTGCTGCTTAATATTTTTGTGGAAAATTAAATTTTTTCAGGATTGTTTGATGAATTCAAGTTCAAAGGAAGAGCATGTGTTTTATTTGACCTTATAAGTATTAATTTCTTTAAAAAAAAATCTTATTCTTAATATTAATCTTTTCAGAACATTAGTAACTCATTTTGAACTGTCTTACTAATGGGTTGTTAAGAATTATTTAACGTAGTAATGTTAGTTAATATTCTCAATTCAAGTTATAGAGTGTTACTGAGAAATTCTAGCCTTGTATAGTGGGAGAATGGGAGCTCATTTCTGCCTCAGAGTAAAAAAAATAAGGTAACTGAAACTTTATATCTTACAATGTGACACCATACTTCAGAATGTGACATTATTTCTATATATATATATAAGCCTCTAAGTACGTCTGACGTTTTTCTTTAAAATTAGCATTTCTTTCTGGTTACTATGTATAGGTTTCTATGTAAGTAATGGTACTTCTGAATGGGTTGAGGCTGGGATTTAGCGCATTTGATGTGAAAGTACTTGATGAACATATACTATGTGTTGAGAGCATTCACTCAGTATCGTTATCTCATTTTTGACCAAGATGGCTTTTAGAGGCACTGGAACTATATATATATATA